ATAATAAGAATTGTTCTTTTAGTTCCACTCTATATAAGTTTGCAATAATCCAGTATATTAAATAACCTGGAGTATTAGTTTCGCTTTTTACCCTTATCGATAAATCATGACTCAGCAATGTCAACGAGTAACTAAATGGGATTCAAAGATTTACTGACAGATATTTTTGCCTGCCTTTAAATAGTTTGTCATAATAACTACCACAGAGGATTTATTCCATGTTGTTAATTCCGAGTTGAAATGATTGTGACATCAAAGTAACGGTATATTCTTCATTACCTGCATATATTGTTAAATAAGGAGGCAATACTTTTAAGTTTGACACAACATCACATAAGATGCTAGTTAATGCAATGTAGTGAACTGTGCACCTAACATCAACAGTGACTAAATAATTTCACTCCAAATGATAGGAATTTTTAGCCCAGGTGAATTATTTGGATATGGTTGCGTTCTCTGAGCTGCGTTTCCTTCTAGACAACATTTTCAGGAATGACTTCACTTTGAGGCTTAAATTTATTTCATAACCATTAGAAAAAAAAGGTAAAATTGGTCAAACTCTTATAGTACACACACACACACACACACACAAATAAATTCCACATTCGATAAATTCATCCGAGATAACACACAGTGATACAGCCTTAATAAGCAGATGATGTTTTGACTGCAGCATCACTGATGATATGATTATGAACAGTGAACTGTTCTCATCCAGACATCCAGTTATGGATTCTGTGTCGTTTTGTGTTACATGGAATTATATTCTACCACGGTACCCGTATTCTCCTCTTACATTAATTTTCTTAGACAAGACACTGAAACTGTTGAGTTTCCAAATTTATTTTACTCGATTTTCTTCAAATTTAATTTTTGGTGCACTAACTTACATATTATTAATTAATACCATCATTACTCAATCGGATCTCACTCTAGGCTGGAGGTATTTTCACAGAAACTGAATAATACTTCCAAATTGGTTTTAGATGGGAATTCGACATACTGACGGATAACTTTTATATACTTGAATAGATGTAAAGTTGTAACACACTAATATATTGGTTTTGTGAACCACTGACGTGATTTCTATCAGTGAGTTCTAGATTAGAATCTCGGCCTACCTACTTTATAGAAAGAACGAACAGGTTTTGCAGGATAAAATGAGCTCGTTTTTATTTCGTGGATTCTTTTCAACTATGTACATTTCGCTAGACTCGTTCCACTTTACATAACAGTATGCTCGTTAACCCAAGCAGAAGTAGATAAGTATCCTGCTTCTTATGTCAACTTCAACTGCCTTTACCAATTTACTTGCATTTGTGGCAGTAAATACATAGGAAAGACTGAGAAGACAGCGTCTACTAGATCTTTCAAGCATATCTCTAAAGGTTTCCGTTTTCAAGGCAGCAGAGTATACTCAAATGTAATCGCCGGACACTCAATTGACACGGAAAATACAGTGGAGATTAGTCAGGCTTTCAAAATAATGAATAACCAAAGAAAAGCATGGTTACTTTGCTACACAGAAGCCATTGCCATCAAAAGACTTCCACCTAACCTATGCATACAGAAAGAGAGTATGACTAATCTCTCGTTACCCGTTAATCTTAATTTTGATTTTCACTCACTGAGATGAACTGACTATTAAGGTCCTAAGTCTACTAAGCTAAATTATTTTATCTGTTTTATAATTTCAATTCACTATTCACCCCAACCTTCTGAACAATCCGACATAATACGTATAAATTCACAGTGTATTTTGTCTGTACTCCATCCTTGTTCCCAAGAGAAATCTGAACTTTACCCCTTTGTCTTGGTCTTTTAACACTAAATAATTGTCTACTTACATCATCTCTGTAATTATGTTGCTTATTTTTTCCCCTTCACGTTCCCAGTAAAACGTAGGGCCTCAAGCTAGTGGCTTGAAGTTTCTGTAGCAGTGTTTAATTTTACAGGATGGGGTTGCTAGCTCCATGCCCAACCTTTCCTCTTTACCAGCATTATTTCTGACTTAGCGGGGATCGAACCCATGACCATGTGCATGATCGGTGAGCATCCTAACCGCTGTGCCATCGACACATATATGTTGCTTATCCTCTCTACGTATAATTTGATATCATTGTAAAAAGTATTTTCAGATACATTTTGTAACATATAACTGATTTATTTAGGATGTACGCAGTTGAAGAGAATCGACGAAATAAAACCACCTCATATTATCCTGTAAATATGTAGCCGTTCTTTCTTTATTCAAACAAAAAAGCAGTTTTGTTTATCCATCTTTTTGCTCTATATGAGTTGATTTTTAGAAATTTGTAGTCGGCAATCATTTTGAAAGTTACTAATCTTTAAGACTTTAATAATGAACTCTGAATACATCATTTTCAGGTCTTTAAAAAATATCCTCTAATATTACTGAGAATTGGTGTTGACACCTAGAGTGAGACACTGAGGTTACGATAACGTTTATAACACTGGGAAACGTGACGAATATCACTATACTTTCGTTTTTTAACCACAGAGTTTTATTCATTGTCTCATTAGCCTCACCCATACTTGTTTCATGCTGTTATCGGTAGTACTGTAAAGTATATATATATATATGAAACCAACTGCTACGTTATTTTTTAGACAACAGTAGGTAATCTGTAGAATTTTGAACTGATGGTGAGTGTAAAATATATTCAGTCTTAGTGAAAAGTGGTGTAATTTGCACCAATTCACCGTATCCTTCTTTATGACTAAGAGATATAATGACTGAAAGCCTAAGATGAGTTTCTGAGATTAGTAGTGCTGTACTAAGTAAACAGGAAAAGCCAGCCAGTAAGTTTATGCAACTGAATTGATTGAGTTGACAAGGATGGGTGCTGCTCATTTGGAGTCGGTGTGTGCGTCGGTGGCACAGTGGTTAGGACTCTCGCCGACCATGAACATGGTCCTAGGTTCGAACCCCCGCCGACGCACACCTGATATCTATGGTCGGCCTGCAAAATTTGGGCTACCGATATCCATGCCGAAAATTCCATACTTGTACCAAAAATACAGTGTGGAATCAAGCTGTAAATCAAAAAAAAATAGTCATTGCTTTTCTCCACGAACGATGTTACGTGATGTAAGATTCATCTAGAGAAGAGTTGAGGGTAATCAGAACGAAAAAAATATGACACCAATCCATGAAGTATTTAGCTGTTGTTGATTTGAGTCGCAAATGTAGGGAAGTATAGACTGTTTGAATGAGGTACTTTAGACGCTAAGAATTAATGACTGGATACTGTTGGTAGCATGGCTCAAACTTGTTTTGTATCCCTTCCTGCTAGTTTAATTTAAACTTCACTAATATCAATGCAGTTATTCTTCTTTCCTCACAGTTTTGCTTATTGTAGTTTCATTGTATTTCTTCTCTACATTTATGTGTGCCTTATTAGAGTATGGCAACTTAAACGTGTGCAGAGTTCTATGTTGAAAATCAGTAAATGACTCAGTCAGTGGGTTGAAAACAATATGCACGATTTACTATGCAATATCTGTAGAGAATGATTGAACTTGGAGAAGTTAGTTCGAAGAAGCTTTAAAAACACTGATCCCCCAGCTACTTGCTTAAATTACAAGAGCTTGAGTATCACTTAGACCGTAGAATTTGGTTATATCATTTCAGAGAGGAGAAAATTAATACTACTAATAATAAAGAGCTTTATTCCAAACAGTATTTGTAGTACAGGTATGGGATTTTCAGCGTGCATTACAATATATTGCATCTAAATACCTCATAAGTTTTATTAGATTATAAAATCAAAAAGCAACACCCAAAAAAGAGAAAAAGAAAGGTAAATAAAAAAATAAAAGGAGCAGCGTTGCGTTTACATTTTAAACAATGCACCACAGGATATGAAATATAAAATTGGTGTGTAATAGAAGATGAGAACAACAGTGTAATAGTAACGAGGAAAGGAAGACAAAAACTAATGGGACTATTTGTTAGAGTGCCGCAGTAAGTTGATCGTGTCATACCTAACTGATTTCTTATCACATAACAGCTGTGCCAGATATGGTATTGTGGAGTTTTGTATTTGGTAGTCCTAGCATATAGCCTCCTATAGCTGGTTCTAGTTCTACCAGATGAAATGCAAGGAGACAGCTGCGTATAGAGAGGATTCTCGGGGTCTGACAATATTGTATTTGCTAGTTTCTTACATGACATTATATGTCTATCCACAATAGTGTTCACCAGTTGGTTTAACGATATCCCACTTGCCCTACTAACAGCTTTTAGTGCTCTTCTCAGCGAAGCAAAGTCTTTCTTAAGTAGTCCAGGAAAGACTAATGGGGAGCAGTAAAGGGGGATGGGTAGAATACAAGAATTGACAAACTGAGAAAGCAAAAACTGCTTTATGCCAGATTGCCTAAATTTCCTAACGTAGAACGTTAAGCGAAACATCTTTCTAGTAACTAGCAAGATGTGGGAAGACCAGGAAAGATCGGTGGAAAAACTCAGTTCAAGGTGCTTGACATTAGATGTATTTTCAACCTCTGTGTCGTCAATGATAGTGGGGCCATGTGAGCTAACTAGTTGCTGTAGGTCACATTTGCGTCTGAAACTGAAATTGACTACCTGACATTTAGCCGGATTAAGCTTAAGTCCGTTTGAAGAGGACCACTGACTAATTTCTGACAGAAAGTTATTTAATTTAGAACAATCTGACTGATAGTTGACAGGCATATAAACAGAGAGGTCATCAGCATACTTGACAAAAGTGGCTACATCAGAATGAGGCAAGTCATGTAAGAAAAACGAAAACAGAAAAGGAGAAAGAACAGCACCTTGAGGAACAGCAGCTAAAGTAAGTGAGGTAGTGGAGAACTTTCCGTTGTAGACGGTGTACTGCTTCCTATCAGAAAAATTAGCTAAACCTGTGTATTAAATACTCTCTAGGATTAAACAGTGTATTCATATTGTCCTTCACTTTCTGTAAATTTTAGACTAGCCTCCTACTGATCGATCGTTGGGAATGAATAATCCAGTTTCAGTGTATACTGCAAGTGTACAACATCATCTAATGAATCCAACTTACATGTATAAAGCTGAGTCATCATCTCCTTCAAATCCTACTTCACCAAACACTATATCTAGTCCCTCTATTCCTCATCACATACATACAAAAAATTATCCCAACACAACTGTACACAATCTATTCTATTCATCAGATCATATTCTGAGCACAACTAATACAGCAATCAATCTGTCATCGGTATTAACAAATTCCTTTGACACATCAACACAGCCAAGCAATAATACCTTCGATTTATTAAATATTAGAAATTCAACCTTTTGTTCTGAAGCCAACTTGTCTGCATCCTGTTCATCCTCTGTGTCATCATCCTCTTCATCCGCCTCCTCAGCATCCGCAGCATCGTCAGGCACAAATACAGCATCGAATTCAACTGATGAACTACCGTCTATTCAAATTCCCATGTTATACTCATCAACATCATTTGATATGAGTCAACACAATAATAATAATAATATTCCAATTACTTCTGTTATTACCACTATGACTAACAATAATAACTTTGATTCTACAGAGTCATTGGATGATGTAAAGTATTCGTATATAAGTAATATTAATAATCACTATAATTGCAGTGATTTAGTGAATCCACATAGTTCTACCCCGTTAAATGCTGTTAACTATGCAAATATGATGAGTACATCACCATCAGGTAACGGTGATGAAGAGTATCATCAGTTAGGAAGTAAAAAACATCATCATCTTCCTGCTCCTCCTCCTCCTACTCCTACTCCTCACCAACTCCAACACCAGAAGCATCATCCTGGGAATGAAGTAAGTTTTTATTTTCACTGATAAGCGAATTAAAGTGAACACCAATCAATGTTAATTATAATTCAAGATTCATCATGAATTGACTTCAGTTACAGAACGATTAGAAACCAGGAATAGTACTCACCTGTAAAATTAGCTGATGGGCGAGCTATACATGGAGAATTCACAGAAATTAAAATTCATGAGCCATTGAACTTCTTCCCTATGTTTGAATGGTCGACAGCAGCCTCGACTTATAAACTGAAGGTGCTAGGTACCTATTGTTTAATAGTCTTAGAAAAGGATGAAACAGCTCTCCAGTACTCCTTGCTTTTCATTCATTCTCTAAGTGAATTTGATTGTTCACAATTCTTGAAATCAGTAAAGCCAAAGTGCGGGAGTTAACGTTATTTAAAGGTTGTTAGAAAGAAGGGTAGAATAAACTTGGTTTCAAATCTGAGGAATACATGGATGCAGTGTCAGATAAACGGCTTCGTATTCAAACTATGCATTTATATCAGAGCTAAAATTTACTATGACAGGTATAAGCAAACTCAACATTAAGCCTGCGGTTAATCGTTTATTTGAGAAACATAGCTTACCTTGTATATTTAAATACTTGTGCTACGCAAATTTGCGGAGGATTCTCGTATTCTTTTTCAAGAAGCCATTTTTATGCGGTTCATATTTGACTCCAAATTTACTTTTCATATATCACCCATATTTTTATAAATCTATCTATCTATCTATCTATCTATCTATCTATCTATCTATCTATCTATCTATCTATCTATCTATCTATCTATCTATCTATCTATCTATCTATCTATCTATCTATCTATCTATCTATCTATCTATCTATCTATCTATCTATCTATCTATCTATCTATCTATCTATCTATCTATCTATCTATCTATCTATCTATCTATCTATCTATCTATCTATCTATCTATCTATCTATCTATCTATCTATCTATCTATCTATCTATCTATCTATCTATCTATCTATCTATCTATCTATCTATCTATCTATCTATCTATCTATCTATCTATCTATCTATCTATCTATCTATCTATCTATCTATCTATCTATCTATCTATCTATCTATCTATCTATCTATCTATCTATCTATCTATCTATCTATCTATCTATCTATCTATCTATCTATCTATCTATCTATCTATCTATCTATCTATCTATCTATCTATCTATCTATCTATCTATCTATCTATCTATCTATCTATCTATCTATCTATCTATCTATCTATCTATCTATCTATCTATCTATCTATCTATCTATCTATCTATCTATCTATCTATCTATCTATCTATCTATCTATCTATCTATCTATCTATCTATCTATCTATCTATCTATCTATCTATCTATCTATCTATCTATCTATCTATCTATCTATCTATCTATCTATCTATCTATCTATCTATCTATCTATCTATCTATCTATCTATCTATCTATCTATCTATCTATCTATCTATCTATCTATCTATCTATCTATCTATCTATCTATCTATCTATCTATCTATCTATCTATCTATCTATCTATCTATCTATCTATCTATCTATCTATCTATCTATCTATCTATCTATCTATCTATCTATCTATCTATCTATCTATCTATCTATCTATCTATCTATCTATCTATCTATCTATCTATCTATCTATCTATCTATCTATCTATCTATCTATCTATCTATCTATCTATCTATCTATCTATCTATCTATCTATCTATCTATCTATCTATCTATCTATCTATCTATCTATCTATCTATCTATCTATCTATCTATCTATCTATCTATCTATCTATCTATCTATCTATCTATCTATCTATCTATCTATCTATCTATCTATCTATCTATCTATCTATCTATCTATCTATCTATCTATCTATCTATCTATCTATCTATCTATCTATCTATCTATCTATCTATCTATCTATCTATCTATCTATCTATCTATCTATCTATCTATCTATCTATCTATCTATCTATCTATCTATCTATCTATCTATCTATCTATCTATCTATCTATCTATCTATCTATCTATCTATCTATCTATCTATCTATCTATCTATCTATCTATCTATCTATCTATCTATCTATCTATCTATCTATCTATCTATCTATCTATCTATCTATCTATCTATCTATCTATCTATCTATCTATCTATCTATCTATCTATCTATCTATCTATCTATCTATCTATCGATTTCGTTTTTTCTGAATCACTTCAATTGATAACTGTCACAGGATAATCATTTATGTTAATCGAACACAAATATATTCATCAGTTTCAGCTCCACTTGTGTTACTTTTTTGTATTTCATTAATTGCGTTTAACCTCAGTTTAAAAATCCTAAAGAATCTAAATTATCCCTCTATCGATCTGCTTGTTTAAGTGATTGTTTTTCTTTTCTACTGTTCACCGATGCAATCCTTGAATTCCAGTAGAGCTATGACATTTGCAAATATATGAAATTCGCTTAATATAACTTATAACTTATAGATAAAATAATGTGTAGGAAGTGTCAGAGATAACTAGATTGTACAATATAGAAACAAAATCTTATCAACTTTCACTCAGTATTCTCTGAGGGGTCAAAACGATGTGTAAAAGTGTTGAACAAACTGTACGAAGTAATTCTTATTCTATCAAGGAAATAACACGTAATACATAATATATTTTAGTCTATTTTAATTTCTAAAAAAAAGTGATAAACACTCGTAGAAACTCGTTTAGTCAAGAAAATATTCTTTCATTCTTTTGTTAATTTTGCAGGAGGCAGCGTTATGAGTAAGTCATTAAGAGCCAAGTGTACTTAGCACTTTGAATTAACTTTCATATAAGATTAGTAGTAAACTAACATTTGAGGGTGATACTGAGTAAATTAATTGCTGACGTTCAATTATAAAATTAGAAAGATTCTGCATGACAGCTTTTACAACTGTTAAGTATACTATCCACGATTTATCGCCATTAGAAAATGATTTCGGGAGATTCATTTCTTGTCTTTTTAGACATCATCTTCAGTGATGGTTTTAGTATAAAATGGATTTATTTAAATTCTTTATATAGGATACAATTGTATCTCCTGGCAAGAAATTTTCCAATCTCAAGTTAATAAAAATGTTCAATGGAGACGTAAATTAACGACCAGTCATGACAGTAGTTGTCAGGAGATACAATTATATCATTCATCGAGGATTTAAATAAGTTCACTTCATACTGAATTCTCCAGTGAAGATATTGTTTAGATGGGCGAGGAAAGCTTCGCAATTAAATCAACAGAATACAACTAATTCAAAAAGGTATCACACTTTACGTACAGTATATCCAGCAGTTTATTTCGACTCTAGAATTTACGTCAATTAATAATAACTGAAAGTTGGCTTGAATTACTACTAATTAAAGAGCAAAGCAGTAAAGACATATGAATTAAAATATAGAGTTGAACCTGGGTTATTCCCTCAGTATAAACCTGTAAAAAGTGTACACTAGCGAGTAGTTGAATGGCAAACGATATGTGTTGGTCTAAATCAATTTTTCAGATTTCTGAAATAGTCGGTAATCGAGACAGTATTACAGTGTTCCTAACTGCGCTATGCTGTCATGGGTAAGTGTGTCGATTGGAATTTATAGATCAAACCTGTACTCCACTGATCAATAGTTTTTATCCATTCCTTTAAGATCAAGAGGGACTGCTCGCTTTTTGCTTCCCACTTAGAAGCTGTTCATTAGTGAATACCCAGAACGATATGATCCTGCGGTGTGTACATTTAGCCATTTAACCAAAATCCATTGATAACTTAGTGTTAGTTCTTAAAATAACAAAACTACAATCCATTCTAGTGGATTAGTAAATTCACAAGTTGTATCACAAGAAAATAGTTGTGGTAACAAAATTTCTGTTTTAATTTCTTAACATATTCTACTATTTTCTTCTTTCTCTCTTTCTGTTTCATGCAAAAGACACTGGTAACAAAGTCATCAGAAGATTTGGAATCCAACAGTCATTTTGCAGTATGCAGTTATCCTTCAACTAATTCGTCTTGGAAAAACTCGAAAGAATTGTATCTGTCGTCTATCAATAGATCAGTTACTTCTCCAGTGACAAGTACAAATACCACGAGTGATTTACATTCATCTCCAACTCCAATGAATAAATCAGGGACTCCTGACTTACAAAGCACAACCAACCAGTACATTTATCACAATTCTGGATTACTTAATTCCCTAACTAACGAATTTATCGAACAGAAGAAGAATGATATTATTAAGTTGAATACAATGAAACAAGAATTTGAAGTTAATTCACCAAATTCACCAATTCAGTCAAATCCCGCGACATTAACATCACTGACTTGTTCAACAGTCACAACACCAGCAGAAGCAGAAGTAGAAACGAAGATCACCGCACTGTCAACACAGGGACTAGACAATTCATCTCATGAACACATTCAAACTTCATGGTCTAGCTGTAATCCTGAATTTCTGAAATCTGAATATACAAGTCAAGAAGATTCTACTACATCTTATCCACTTTATTTAAATTATACCATACCTATCGGTAAGAATACTGAAGCCAGTTGCCTGCCTGTGGATAAAGTGCAGAATTCCAGTGTAAAAGGAGACCTGAGCGATAATACTACCACTACTACTAATAGTAGTAATGATAATATTAGTAATGAGAAGTCAGAGGCTAACAGTTCTGAGCCGAAACAATATAATTACCATGAACATAAATATTATATTTCTAAAAATATACAAAATATTACGCATAAACCAACTTATCAGATTGCTTTGTCACTGACAGCTAACTTTTATCCAACAGTTAAATACAAAGGCATTAATTCAGACTGGGAAATGAATAATTCTGATGACTACAGGTATACTACACAAGATATGTCGAAATCTACACTGAATCCTCTAAATCCTTTGCACAGTTCTCATCTTCTCAATGAACAACAACAACAACATGAAGAGCAGTTAAGTGTGACTAAACAAAATGAACAAATTTCATTGAACATGTTGAACAGTGGTCATTTAAATTATTACGATGAGCATCATTCGCTTACACAGAGTCCACCTAATAATAGTAATAATAATAATAATTTTGACAGATTACCGTATTGTAATGGATATAACCTACCGTCTGTACTTCCTCCTCCGTGTCATAATCCTCTTCAACACGAAATGAAATTTCCACCTTTTATAATGTCAAATTATACTGAACAGATAAATCGTAATAACTATTATTTTCCAGATGAAATGCAGAGCCATGAGTCTGATTTAACTCAAATGAATAATGCAAAGTTAAATTATTGTGCTAGTTCTTTGGATACTACTAACACAAAAGTTAGTAGTAGTACCAACAACAGTAGTATTGTTAATCATGAAGTTTTTGAAAAGTATAATAATGAGTCATATTTGAATGCATATTCAGCTTATGCGGAGAATTATCCACAAATATTGAATTATCCTGCAGAAAGTAATAATCATGCCTCATCAACAAACTATACAAGTACCTATTTAACTAATTTAGATAAAGTGAATAATAGTTTAAGTGGTATGAATGATTCAAGAGATGTGTTCAGTGGTGGACCAACACAAAATCCTTTACAACTGTCTATGAATCACTATGATAGTGATCATTCCAGTGTACACCACCTTTCACATCACCATCATACTCATCAACACGATCACCATTCACTCCTTCAGAACCATCCTCATCCCCATCCTCATCATCATAATCAACAACATTCTGAAGTAACTGATTTCAATCCGAATGTACAAATATGTTTATAAATACACTTAACTATCGTCCATCAAGTAATATGAATGAAGAGTACTGTGCATCGTTATCACCGTCTTCTGAGTTATGCATGCATAATTCGGATCCATCAATACCTTATAAATATTCATCAATTAACTCAGCACATTTAACTTCTTATGATCCAATGACATTTTTGCATGAAATTAATTTAGCCTCAGTAAACTCAAGTCAATTGGATAGAATTAGTCATAGTGAACGCGGACAAAATATCAACAGTTCTAATAATAATAATAATAATACTAATAGTAACAATAATAATAGCAATAGTAATAATAATAACAATAGTCGTATGTCGGCATTTATGGCAGCCGCTGCTGTTGCTGCGGCTGTTTCACATAATAATAATAATAACAATAATAATAATGATAATTCAAACACTAATTTAACAAATAGCACAAATATTAAACGTGCTAATGCTAATATAGATGGACAGTTTAATCGACAGACGAATACTTACAATTTGTTAGGACAATCGAATAATTTCTTAATGGCTGCTGCAGCGGCTTCAGTAGCTAATGACTTAAATCTGTCCTCAGGTGAGTAACACTAATCTGTTTATTTTTATGACATGTCTGTCTGTCTATCTATTTTCGACATTGAACTTTGCACCGATGTGTGGCAGTTCAAGTCGCCACACTCCCTCCTTGTAGCACACAGAGCAAGAGAAGAAAGTAGGAGAAATGCATAATAGAGACAGTAAACAGAGGTGTGAGACAAAGGAATATTAATAACGAAGAGCAATATAGTTTCATTGGAAATCATAAGTCACAAGGAGTGGATGCATCTGCGCCAGCCATTGAGAACGATCACTTTGAGCCAAATCACCAATTGTTTCCAACCACTGGTTTTTACCGTCCCGAGGACCCCAACCAGGAAGTCTACACCTTCCTACGTGACTGGCTTAAACTAACTGTTGTGGATTTTATTGACTGGTGACATGTTTTGGTTTGACCATCGCTAGCTCTTTTCCAGCCTGACCCTATGTATGTATATGTAGGGGTTGGTTTCGGGAAATGTTGGTATAACTTCATTAGGAGATGGAGGATTCTAGTGTTATTCTGCCAACATATGAGAGTCAGTCATTTTACCGCAAATATTAGCAATAAATCAATGTGGATAATGTCGGTTAATCATTGGTTATAAATCTGTCAAGAATGTAGACCCATCAACAGTCGAATGATGAACGATGCATCCATTTAGTTTCCACTCCTGATGACAATCTAAATCGACTTATTGAGTGTGAAATATAGGTAGCGTGCTTGACAAGATGACACTGTTTCTCATGTCGCTTCGCTGCAATTCGAGATCAGATTTTAGAAAAAAGGTTAAATATAGCCAGATAATGCCTATTTGGCACAAATTTCGAGATTTCTACCAATTGTTCGCATTGCCACTCTATCTCAAGCCGAACAATCAGTATAGCATACCGTTCAGGCCCAAAAAGAGTGAAAGCCTCGTGTGAATAAGAAATAAACATGATAGTTTTGTTCAGAATTAACTTTGGAGTAGGATTGTTTGGCAGTGTAACCCGAAATGGATGGTAAAGTCCATCCAAGGCTAAATACTTACACGAGTACGATAGTAAACATTTATACTTAGGGAAAGTTGGAAAGTACTTTGGAGAGTTCATGAAACCTCTCTGAGTTCTAAATAACTGATTTTTTTTCTCTGTGATATTTAAGTCTGAGTCACTCAGTGTTTGTTAGATTATCACACTACTTAACGACGGACAATCGACTGAAATAAATAATGCATTCCCACAGATGTATGAACAGCTAAGGTGTGAAGTTTCTTAATTTAAGTCTAAAATGAAAAAAAAGTAAATGGTTGTGGATATATCCTTCTGATTAGTGTCAATAGACACAGATTCGGATTATAAAGCCTGAACTTTTTACTGACTAACTTTTGTGAACATCCACTATCCGAAATATAACAAACAAACAGACGAGTGAGAACAGTGCCGAATGGTGAACTAGACGCCCACAGGCTAAAAACAATTTTACGGTACCAATAATGCAAAATAATTAATGTCTCCAATTTATTTACTTTATTCCTTTCCATTCCCAGTGGAACATAAGGTTTCAAGCTTCAGCTCTGAAGTTTCAGTAGCACTGGTGTTTATTTCTTAAGGGGTGGGAGTTACTAGCCTCACGCCCAACCTTCCCTCTTTATCGAATTTACTAATAGCTTAGTGAGGTTTAAGGCATGCGCTAACTGGGATTTGAACTGCGGATCACGTGAGGCATGGTTGGTGAACATTCTACCGCTGAACTACCAACGCATAATATCTTCACTAATTCTCTACAACTTGATGGCTTATGACCCATGGAGTGAAAGGTACTCACTTCTGCACTGACTGATTCCCTCTGTGTCACTCATGCTCAGTGTGAGCACATCATTCATCCAAAAATTAGTGAGTAGATTGGTAAGTTGTTAGACTATTAAAAAGCTGCGTGACATATACACTTCAGATGAATTAGAAAGAGTTGATAATCAGAACCCTGTGTTCAAAACATAACACATATTATTAAAGAGCCTTGCGTAATGATATTGATGAAATTTAATACTAACCGAAAAAGTTTATGAGATGGTTCATTTCATTTGTCAATGTCTTTAAAATCTCTTTGAAAAAGCATATCCTGTAATGAAATTTAATTGGTGGATGGTGACCAGCAGTAGAATCCAGGATGCGCATTTCGTCCTATTTGGGACTTGTCCGCCAGCTGGATGTACCTGCATTTCCCAGTGAGTGATAATGTCTCCACAGAGGCTGGAAACCATTGTTCTTAGTTTCAAATGCCAAAGCGTTATCCACTAGATCACTCGGGCCACGAGAGCCACCTCTTGTGCAATGGGTCATATTAATTTTAAATATCCTGTATTGGTTTGTATTGAGTATTTTCGCGAAACACAACGGAACGTACTCGACCTAGTCAGCTAATTTAATAAGTACTTAGATGTGGTAAGAGTGAATATTCAATGTTTTGATAAATAACTCTAAAGGTCAATAACGAAACCACTGTTGTCACGTTACGTTAAAATACATCTTAGTTGTGCATTGGTCTTCACAACTTCTACTTCTGAAATCAAATGTATGCGCTTCATCCAATTTAGATGTACATTTTTCCTAATGATGCTTAAATCACTACAGTGATATTTATTTCAATGGCTATAGGATAGTTGATGGAATCTGCAGCTTATGTAATTATTCCATTATGAAAAATGAATTGGTCAGTTTTTTCGGTCACATAATCTCCATTAATGGGTATCTTGATTCTGGTTATATATGTCTATCCAGGGTGTCTATCATATTTACGTATCAGTCATTCTAGTACATGCTAATTTCATGATTCTCCAAATATTCCACCATCAGTCAGTCGACAAACATCTTAGAATATGACTTTTATTATCTTTAATAGCCATCTAATTATGAGTTGTTTACAGTCTTGATTCAACATGCTTTACTCATAGATAAGCTGAGATTAGCATTTTTAAGATACTCATAGCATCAGTATCATAAATAGTATGACTGCAAGTTAATATTATAACTGTAGAACGAATATTCATTCACCTTTATAGTCAGACTTTGACTCAGTGTCTCTATAGTGACATCCTAGGCATAAACATTGTAAATTATGTATTCAGTTTCACAGGCATAGTTCTTGTGGTCTCCATTAAGGCATACAAAATATTGGGGGCCATATTTGAAAGCGTTACTTTAAATGTACCTTTGGATATTGCTAGAATTACCTGGTGAATACTCTGGACTTTGCAGACAATTTATGTATCGAAAGTATATAAACGAAAACAAACAAGTAAGTGGTAAAGGCATGAATTCAGGTGAACATAGGAGAGACAGAACTAGCGAAAATAGCCGACTAACACCAAACACCATTCACCATCCACTAGAGGAATCAGAAGGAAATCGTCTGTTTCATTTACTTGAACAGCATAGTTTCAGCTACAGTTGGCACGGATGAGGATGTCAAAGCCAGGATAGGAAAAGCAAGACGCATTCATTCCTCTCAAGTTTGTGTGGAGATAGATCAACAGTACTCAGCATGAAAAATATGATGTGGATTTTCAACTCCAATGTGCAGTCAATGCCACTTACTATATGGATAAGAGACTTTGTGCCACGTCACGAAGGGGGCACTTCTAACAAACTACAAACTTCCACCAACATTTATCTTCGCTCAGTACTACTCAAGATCAGATGGACGGTCAGAAAGGAACAGCAATAGGCATCTCTGGTAATCAGCGAACCAACCCAGTAGGAATCAATTGCGCAACAAATCTGCAGGAAGAAATGGAGGTGCATCGGTTATACTTTGAGAAAACCATCAAGTGATATCACACGCTAGGCCATTACTTGAGTGGAACCCGAATGGGAAGCGGCGAGATGGTCGTCAGTGTGGGAGTGACATGGAGGAGGTCATGTGAAGAGGAGATGAAAGCTTGTGGGCGGACGTGGAACCAAGTGAAAATACGAACACAATTGAGATGTGAGGCTGAAGCCCTATGTTCCTCTAGAAACTAAAGGAAACAGTAGTAATGATATTCTCCATATCACCCTCCGATATTTAACCAATTTCTGTTTATAGCACAAATATCTAACGGGATAGGATAGGTAACGAGGAACTCTGGAAGCTCAGAGAACCAGTCAAGAATATACTGCTTAACAAATTTGCAGGACTATCTGCAAATGGATTGGACATACACTGAGGTAACTATTCAGTGACATCACTCTTCAGGCCTTAGAGTGGAGCCCGAATGGGAGGCGATGGATTGAGTGTCGGAGGGTGACATGGAGAAGATTATGTGAAAAGGAAATGAAGGCTTGTGGGTAGTTGTGTAGCCCGCTAAAATAGATTGCAGAGAACAGAATGCATTGGCGAAATCCAAGGGACGAAAAATAAGAATAATTGAGTATTTCTATATTTGGAAGCATTCATTATGACTTTAGTTAAAATGTTCATGATGGCTAAAGCGCCACAATAAGTTATTCAGTCTTATAGTTACATTTCCACTTGACTCATAATATGATCTGATCACTTCAAATTTTTGGTTTTGACACGCAATTTGACTTTCAACCTTTACTTGTGAATTCAGTAACAACTTTATTAGGCTGGTCTATGCCTGAGTAAATAAGTCAACCTGTCAACATACCAACAATTAGGAAGTCATCCACACTAATAATTAGAAATATTCCAACTAACAAATCACACCTGATCACCAGGTAATATGAATTATGCTCATCTGACCTAAGGATTTATTACAACTATATGGATGCTATACCGTAGGGAATAGCTAGTCCATCCTAGTCACCTTACAATTTAATCACTCTTATGTGCGTGCGTGAGTGCGCTGTAGCTCCTATGCAACACATAAATTTTAATCTATAACTGGATCTCACAACATAATTACTGCAGCAATTATTACTACTACTATTATTATTACGTAACCACAAACCCATAATTCACACATCAATACACAGAAGCATACACACATACACACACACACACACCTAACATAG